TTTGATCGAAAATAGCGAGAGATATAAAACAGATATCAAAAATCTGGGACACGCTTTTTGAGCTTATTATCTCCTGAGTATATATGTTAAGACATTTTTCGCAAACATAGCTTAAAATGTACGCGCCCGTTAACGTTTTCACTGAGGCATGGTCAAATTTTGCTTCGAGGACAATAATGTGAACAACAATAAAAAAATCGTATTTTGAAGATGTCTTCATAAACTATGTTTACTCAGCTTTCAGAAAATGTATACTTTGTTTGTGTTATACTATAAAGCCAGCGCGTTATTCAAGTTTGCGCGCATAGTGGTCGTAAACGTATCCTAATACCTTAAGGTGAAGTTGATTAATCATATTAACTCTGGACGGTTGAATATTTCTGACGTAAGGAGCATCACGCGGTCGCGTTGTTGTTGGTATAGTACAAACAGAGTCAAGTACGGAACGGCCGTTAAAGAAGTAACGCTCATAGGCTATTCAAACCGTTTAACCTTTGGAATGAAAACGTCTGCATTACAACAGCGAACGAAGGAACACGGACGCAAGATAAGTAAACAAGTATAACGTTGATTTAATTCAAATAATCGAAAGGAAAAAAAACCTATAGAAATCCAACCACATTCGGTGTCCTAGTGCCCTTGTTCACAGTTGTAGAATGTGTTCCCAACTGAACTTGGCGAAATGACATCTAGTATTGAAACTATTAAACTTCATCTGAAGACTTACCTTTTTTAAATTAGCTTATACATGCTAAACCTCTATCGGTCTACTTTTTATTATTTATATATAGTAGTAGTTATATTATCTATGTATTAGCTTTTGTAGTATTTATAGATAAATATGATTATTATTTGATTGGCTGAAATAATGTTAATGATTCATTTGATTATTATATGTAATCTGCGCAACATTCATAAATGAATATTTATTATTTATTATTATGAGGGAATTATTTTAATTCGTATTCAAGCGGTGAGCGCCAAAAACTATTTTCTTGAAGAAAGGCTAGCTGTTGTACAAGGCTAAAATCTTGTTATTCAGAAAGTTTAACTCGTTAGGAAGTGGAGAGGACCGATGAAAGTGGAATCAAAGTGTGAACCCAAAGCAAAAATTATTATTCGAAAATGAGGTTCAGGCCTTCATTTGCTTATTTTCCATATATTTTCTATAAAAAAGCCTGACAAAGCTACATTCTAACACAAATACAACAAAACATCTTTGTACAATTAAAAATAACGCTTTAAGCATTTTATCATAGTACATCAGTTTCTAACAATTTAAAAAAAGTTTTGAGTGTTAACCCAAAACGAAAATTGGGATCAAAACTCATACAAATATACAATATATTACTCACGATTTGCCTTGATTATTCCAAGGGTAGGACCAACGCGAGGGACAGGTACCTGATTCTGTCAGTGGCGGATCTAGGGGTGGGTTTTGGGGGTTGCAACCCCACCCCCACTATGAGAGCCATCGTGATTTATCATTATTATTATTACTATTATTATTATTATTATTTTCATGACATCATCAACAGCATCGCGAGTTTTATTAAAACAGGGGTGCCGAACACATTTCGCTCGCTTTTTTTTCCTTCTATACGCCGTGTGTGGGACCTGAAACAACCATGCTCGCCTGCAGCAATAATCGGATATCGTCTCCCTAACCTTTGGTCTGCTATATCTCTCCAGCACCTCAATCAATGCTACAACCCCCCCTATGAAAAAATCCTGGATCCGCCCCTGTGTGTTTAACCAGAATTTGCAACAATGGGGAATAATGTCTTTGGTTTTAAAGAGAAATGAAAATCCAGTCATCTTTGGTAGAAATGTTTTAAATTTAAAAATATAGTAAATACATAGGTATAAGTTAGATATTCACATAAAGGAAATTGTGAAATACGGAAATTAATCATTTAGTTTATCTTCATGTCTTCAATTCATGTGGAAAGAAACCTAAACTATAGTGTAGTATGGTCGAGGATAGAGGTAATGGAAATATTTCCATCTTCGAATCCAGAAGAACCACTTTGGTTATCAACATATTGCTTGCGGTCGTTTAAGTAATTTCTAATCCGATCAAGTACTAAGCACGTAATACCATAATGTTCAAGCTTTATAATAAAAGGGTTTTTAGATTAACAGTGTCAAAAGCTTTAGAGAGATCAAGAAAAACTACAGCACATTATCCTTTGTTGTCAATAGTTTGTGGGGGGCGCGAAGCGCAGTGGTACCACGAACCGTTCGCCCGCCTCTCATCACACTTGTTTGCTTTTGTGTTCATTTATTTTTTTGTTCTCCTTTGTACGTTAAGCGCAATAAAAGCCTCTAAATTAAAAATTAAAAAAANAAAAAAAAAAAAAAAAAAAAAAAAAAGAAAGAAAAAATCACATTACATTATAGGTATCTAATGTTGACTTAGTCAACTAAAATCAAATCAAGTACGATTGTATCGAACCAATAATTACTTAGACTCTCTTCAATGCATGCAAAAGGATACATACCAGCACGAATAATTCTCGACATATGCAAATATTGATATTCATGATTATGTATGTCGATCTGTGAGTTTGTTGATAGATCGTAATTTATGCTTGCGAAATTAACGATGTAGCTCCCAGCGTGCATTGCGCTACGATGTTGCCTCTTGCTTGTCGTTTTACAAAATGGCGGAATAAACACGAAGTTGTTGTTTTACTCCGTTTCTTTTCGTCTTTAAACGCTACTAAACCTACCCAAATCAACAAGTTAACGTGCCCTGATTTAGATTAGCTCAAAGGATGTCTTTCAAGGCTCGATCTGTGAGTAAGCCGAATGGTCTATGGAACTTTTATTCAAAACTTGATTGCATTTATATTTTTGACTAACTAAGAATAGTTCGATTTGACTAAACAATCCTCCGGCCATCAAGGCTCAAGGAGTCATTACAAACTTTTGACAATAACAAGCAACATACGTCAGTGTATGTGGAACAAGGTTATATTTTTTATTATAAAATAATTGGGATACTACGCGCGCTATGATTGGTCGAAAACCATGTTTGATGAGAGTATCAAAACACGCTATCGTCATTTTTAATCTATCGCGCGCGCTCATTGGTCAGTTTGAATAAGACGGCACGTAGGGAGAATTTACTTAGACTTTGCTTTTTTTCGATCTTTTCGCGCGTTTGTTATTTTATAAAACAAATCAAAAACGGAAAACTGTTTTTGATCTGTTAGATATCACATTATGTGTAATAAACTTGATAATGAGACTCTTTTTTTGAGCTGTATCTACACAAATTTAATATTCAATAAATAATTCTCTCTAGCTTTTTACATTTTTCTTTTTCTCTTCTGTCATTTTTGTTTTTGTATTGGTTCTCATACATTCTTATACTTATTCTTAATCTATTTTAGACGACACTTAAAAAGACCAAAAATATAAATTATAATAGTTTGATCATGACTGTCTACAAGTAAAGTTCCTTACACCCTACTAGAAAGTGAATTGTACACATTGAATAGTTCAAGAATTGGTGATACATTAGTTGCTTCTATTCGGTAACTAGGAAAGATATTGTCAAACTGTGACTGGAGTGACACTTGCAGATCTAAAGTTTCTCCTTTAGCCATTATTGTGCACACATAAGATCAATACTTTTGAGGATTAACTTGAAAACATTTGGAAATAATTGAAAATATTGCCTGACGCCTGCAAGGCATCAGTCAGTAACTACATTTAAGAGGACCTGTTGGGTAGTTAGGGAGACCTTCGCCCTTTTTCATGCATACTTAACTCTTTTACTTTGAAAAATATATTTAGGATAACCTTTCAAATAACTTTTCATTTTCCTTACTAAAAATTCAGTTGCAAAGCTGTAAATGCACAAACTTTTGACAACAACAAAGAAAATTAGTATTGTGTTTTCTTGACTCGCCACGTGTCATTAATTGTATAATAATAATAGTATTCCCTCGAGAATTAATAATATATATATATTCTCTCTGCTTTACCGCTAAATACTTGGCTTAATATCACTACTGCAGATTGAATTAGTGTTGTTTTTTTTTTTTTTTTTTTTTTT